CACTATGGAAGAGGAGATAGGCGCAAACTACATATGTTACTCTACCGCTAAAGAACTCTGGGAGATGTGGCCCGAATGTATTTGGATATGGTTAACCAATCATAGATTTATGAGCTTTCCCTGAACTTGGTGATATTCGTCAAGATAATGATTCTGTCACAAAATATTTTAATTCTTTGAAGAGGATATGACAAGACCTAGACTGGTTTAATGATCAAGAGTGGAAGTGTCTTGATGATGCTAGTAAGTATAAGACCATTGTTGATGCAAATAGAATTTTTAAATTCCTTGTTGGTCTTAAAGAGGATTTTGACGAGTTAAGGGGTAGAATTATTGGGAGAAATCCCCTGCCTTCAATCCATGAGGCTTTCTCGGAAGTCGGCCACAAAGAAACTCGAAGAGGAGTAATGCTTAACAAGAAATCCACTCCTACCAGCATACCTGAGACCTCGACATTCAATTCTGAAGTTTAAATGCTCAACATCCACAAAAGAATGAGGAGAAACTCCAAGTGTGGTGTGATAATTGCAACAGGTCACGACACAATAGAGAAACATGCTGGCATCTCCATGGGAAACCTACAGATTTGAAGCCACAGAACAAGCACCAGCCACCTACCTCAAGCACTGCTGCTGAACAGATCAGCCCATTTAGCAAGAAGCCAATCGATTAACTCCTGAATCTATTAAACCCTAATTCGGCTACTGGTACTTCAAATTGTTCCCTGGTACATGCAGGTGGAAAATTAAACCCTTGAATTATTGATTCTGGAGCTTCTGATCATATGAATAATTTACACCATTTATTTTATTCATATAAGCCATGTTTTGGCCATGAAAAGGTTCGTATTGCGGACGGTAATTTCTCTTCTATTGCTGGAAAAGGACACATTAACCTGTCCAAGAGTATAGGTTTTAAATTTGTACTTCATGTACCAAAACTCAAATGTAACATTCTATCCGTCAGCAAAATTTCAAAAGATTCTAACTTCCATGTAATTTTTTGTGAATTTTCTTATGTCTTTCAGGACAAGAAGTCGGGGATGATAATTGGGAGAGCTAAAGAGATAGGACTTAACTACTTTACGGACACTATTCCTAGTAATAAAAAGGTTCAAGCTTACAGCAGTATGAGTTTGAACCCTGCATTTAAAAAAATAAAGGAATGACATCTTAGACTAGGCCATCCAAGTTTTCATTGTTTAAGACATTTATTTCCTCACTTGTTTAAGGGTGTTAATTGTACCTTACTTCAATGTGAAACGTGTTATTTAGCAAAAATTCATCGCATAAATTTTGCTTCAAAACCATACTATCCTTCAAAACTTTTTTTCATGAACCATAATGATGATTGAGGACCTTCAAAAATCAAAACATTATCTGAAAAAAAGGGTTTTGTGATTTTTATTGATGATCAGACCAGAATATGTTGGGTTTATCTTATAAGCAAGAAATCAGAAGTTGAAAAACTCTTTCAAGATTTTTACAACATGATTAAAACTCAATTTGAAACAAAAATATGCATCCTTAGAACAGACAATGGAACTGGTAAGTTTTTAATAAACAAAAGCATAATCCATCAATCCACATGTCGTGACACTCCACAACAAAATAGAATTCTGAAAGAAAAAAAAGACATTTACTTGAAGTTGCTCGGACCATTATGTTTTCAATGAACATTTCTAAATATTTATGGGGGGCGTCGTTTAAACAGCATTATATTTAATAAAGAGAATAAATACTCGAGTTTTACAATATACAACTCCTCTAAACAAGCTGACAAACAATTTTTCAAATCGACGAATGACTTCAAATATTCCTTTAAAAATCTTTAGTGCACATGTTTTGAACATATTTCAAATAATTTTCAATCAAAATTGGATCCAAAATCTGAAAAATGCATTTTTCTTGGATATGTTTCAAACAAAAGGGGTTACAAATGTTTTAATCCTATCACAAAAAAACTTACATTAGTATGGATATGATCTTCATAGAAAAAATTCCTTTCTTTCATAAAAATTCTCTTCAAGAGGAGTTTAATATAGATGGAGAAGATGATTTTTGGCACATTTCTGATCCACTACCAAGAATTGTTCTAGCACCAAATACACCTGAAGTTCTTAATAAAAATGAATCGGAAATATCGGAAATAGTTGTGAATCGGAAATAGTTGAAAGTAATAAAAACCTAGAGAATCCTATTCAAAAGGAACCAAAAATTATCTTGTCTAATACAGGAGGAGAAATACCACAGAATAAAGAACATCTGGTTTATTCCAGGAAAAGACTCCATAAAAGGAAAAATGTTCAAATTGAATCTTCAGTTCCCTCCCAATCTGAAGAACTGAATGATGGTCCTCAAGAAACACAGGTAACAAGAAACACAGGTAATTCAAGAAACACAGGTAATTCCCAATCCTGGTCTTACTTTTTGATCAACAGAAGCTCAAGATTCAAAGGTTATGAATTTGGATATTCCTATAGCCTTTAGAAAAGGAACACGTTATTGTACTATCAAACATTCGATTACAAAATATCTATCCTACAAAACAATCTCACACAAACATCAAGTTTTTTTGTCAAAAATTTCTACAGGAAGCACTTAGTAATCTGAATTTGAGAATGGCAGTAAAGGAAGAGATAGATGCTCTGTTGAAAAATGGAACCTGGAAAGTTGTCACTTTGCCAAGAGACAAGTCTATTGTTGGGTGTAAATGGGTCTTCACTGTTAAAGTCAAAGCTGATAGGAGCGTCGAAAGATATAAAGCACGAGTGGTAGCGAAAGAATTCACTCAGACTCAAGGAATTGACTATCAAGAGACACTTACTCTAGTACTCAAGATAAATTCTATTTGTGTTCTACTGTCCATAGCAGCAAACCGTGATTGGTCCTTACATCAGCTCGACATTAAAAACGTCTTTCTAAATGGTGAATTAGAGGAGTAGGTATTCAGGGATCTTCCACCAGGATTCGAGAAAAAGTTTGGATAAGACAAGGTGTGCAGATTGAAGAAATTCTTGTATGAGCTCAAGCAATCACCTCGCGTCTGGTCTGAGAAGTTCGGAAAGGTGGTTAAAAAGTATGGATATAGTCATTTTCAAGATGATCATATTATGTTCTACAAACATGTAGAAACTGATAAACTTGTTATATTTATTGTCTATGTCGACGATATTATCCTTTCAGGAAATGATGCTAAGGAAATTGAGACATTCAAAGAAAAATTAGCCACAGAATTCGAGATTAAAAATCTGGGGCAGTAAAGTACTTTTTCGGCATTTAATTTGTCAGATCAAAGGAGGGAGTTTTTATTAATCAGCGGAATTATGTACTCGACTTGCCCAGTGAAACCGGAATGCTTCGGTGCAAAGTAGCAGAAACCTCAATTGAACCAAATAAAAAGTTATAAGTGACAAATGAAATAGATGGTGTTAATAAAGAATAATATTAGAGGATGGTGAGAAGGCTAATCTACCTATTAGACACTTGTCCTGATATAGTTTTTGTTGTTAGTATGGTAAGTCAGTTTATGCACTCTCCAAACGTTCATCACTTGGAGGCTGTGTATCGGAACCTTAGGTATCTGAAAGGAACGCCTGGAAGAGGACTACTATTCAAGAAAAATGAGACTTACAGATAGAAGCATTTACAAACGCAGATTAGGTTGGGAGTATTACAGATAGAAGGTCAACCTCAGGGTACTGTACGTTTCTAGGAGAAGACTTAGTAACCTGAAGAAGTAAAAGCAAGGTGTCGTGGCAAGAAGCAGTGTTGAAGCTGAATTCAGATATGTGGCTCACAGGATATGTGAAGTTCAATGGATTCTTAAGGAGTTAAAAATTCATAGTCCACCACCAATGAAAGTGCATTGTGATAATAAGTCTGCAATCGTTATCGCCCACAATCCTGTCCTTCATGATTGAACAAAGCACGTAGAGATAGACAAACACTTCATCAAAGAAAAATTGACAAAGGAGATATCTGCATGGTGTACGTTCCTTCCCCCAGCCAAGCTGCAGATATTCTAATGAGAGGTCTTCACAAGAGACAGCTCGACAGTTTAGTGTACAAGTTAATTCTAAAGGATATTTTCATGCCAACTTGAGGCGGAGTGTTGAAAATCCAATTGGATTTACAGCATTAATGTTTTTACCTTTTATAGATTATTGTGTAGCTGTACAAATCTTGGCATAATTAGCTATGTAATATAATAGGAAATAGTTGTAAGCAATTAGGTAATTTCCTTATTTAAGATATAAGCAATTAGATAATTTCCTTATTTAGAATATAAGCAATTAGGTAATTTCCTTATTTAAGATATAAGCAATTAGATAATTTCCTTATTTAGAATATAAGCAATTAGGTAATTTCCTTATTTAGGAGGTGGTATTCCTATAAGTAGATGTACCTTGTAAAGCATCAAAGCAAGAAGAAAGAAGTTTCCTCTCTTTGTTTATGTTCTCATTGTTGACCTCCTCCAATCACTCCTACCCCTCGCTAAGCCCTTTGCCGTTTGAGTCCACCTTAAATTTGCATATATACCAACAAATTTTGGCATATTATTTGCCAGGTTTTTAGAGCAAAATTATATGAACTCCAAGCAGTGAGCATTACTAGAGAATCCAGTCAATCCTAGCATGAAACATACTTCACCGAATGGTATAAATTACAAATATTAGGCTCCAGAGGCAGCAGCTAATGTAGTTTTTTCTGCTCAGCCAACGATGCTATATATTCTTTGTATAAATTCCTGGAAACAGTTTAAGTGCAACAAAATGATTTCAGTACAAAACGCAATTATGATTTTGTTGCCAAAGAACACATAATATGTTCCTTTTAGTTTTATGTCTTCAATCTGCTATGCAGCCCATTTCCATGGGAATGGAGACGTTTGCACTTCGACAACATTCTGTTCTGAGATTGAAATCTGATAATGAAAACTTGTGTTGCTCGACAGAAATAAACAATGGAAACCACCTTACAGTAGACAAAGAGGCTAACCTTATCATCTTCCAAATGAAGCTGTCGCACATGTTTCTGATGGCAGAATTCGTAAGACCACCATCCTTCATGCTGCAACAATACTAATACGATGAAAGATGGTAAAATATACATCATGGATCTGTACTTAGCAGTATTTGAGAAACGCTTACTCTGTAGATACATTTCTCTTTTATCCCTTCAATAAGCTCATCAGGTGTCTTTAGTTTAACCCGCCCGTCAGTTTCTAAGATAAGGTTCGTTGAATTTGGTTGGGCAGTTGGCTTCAAAGGTTTTGTTTCCTCGACGATGGGTAGGAAACAGATATAACTCTGTCCCTCCTTGTTAGTCATCACCAGAGATTCCTGTTTGTTGTCCTGCAATAGAATCTTAAAATAGATCTTCACCATTCTACTCAGGAGACAATGATTTATTGTAGTTTGTTGAAAATCAAGCAAAGAGAGCAAGAAATAAAGTGATAGATCAAGCACGATGTACATGTAAGGTGCTAAAATCAAGCACAACAACATAGTAACAGAGAATTGCACTGTGAAATACTTATGAAACTTTTGCACACTCGAGGAGAAGATACTGTAATATGGAGTAAAATAGAATAGAGAGGTAAACAATGAGAGCAAGGAGAAAATAAGCTGCAGCCAAAACCAAAAGGAGGGAAGAGGGCTTAATCCCAAAAGATAAAGAAAGGTTTGAGAAATTCAACTCTTCATGACTTCATGTAATAAATCAAGCACTGAAATTACAAGGTCTTTAAATATCAATTTATAATAACATGTAATATATTAACATGAGGACAAAAGACTGCAAATGACAACATGAAGGCTCTAAAAATCTATGACAAGAACTATGACACGTAATTATGATAGTCCAATATCACATAGCATGAAATTCAAACAAGTTCACAGGAACTATTATTTGGCACAAATTCCTTAATTCTATGGCAATGGTCCAGAACTAAATTTTAAATATTATGCTGCACAAAAGAATCAAAACCACTAGAGTATAATGACCCTTGCAGTAACATTTGATTACAGTTCATGCCGAAAATCTTTTAGAGTATATAATTAGCAAGTAAGGAGCTAAAGATTTAACTTGCAACAGATGCAAAAGGAAAATTAGAAAAATTGAGTTACCACAGATTTATTTATCAAAACTAGAATATCAGCTAAACAACTACAAGACAAATGGTTGAAATAGAATTTACTTACAGGATGAAACGGAGAACTTGCTGAATGAAACACTATCTTATATTTCGGTTCACGCGAACTCCGACCAAAGGCCACACCTGCTGAAAAGAATTAAAAGTGAAAGATAAATCATACTGACCACGTTAAAAAATCATAATAAAACCCAAGTCACATTCCACTCAGCACTACGTGATCAAATATACAGATTAACAAAATACCATTAAACGATAAATTATTAAATGCAAAGTATCTTTCCTGTAAACCACTAGTTTATGTCTTTCTCGAAACAGCAAACCCACAAAACACATACTGAAATTATGAACAATCTAGAGAACTACAGTGGACAAGAGGTGAAAAATGAGATGAAAATTTGATGAGATAGGATTGCCTCTCTGTAGCATTTTCTGTACTCATCAAAAAAATTGACTTGAACTAGCCCAAAAATATTTTCCTTTTCCTTTAATTTTCAGTTTGTCACAAACTGAGATTATGAACAATCTAGAGAACTATGACGGAAAAGAGGTGAAAAATGAGATGAAAAATTGATGAGATAGGATTGCCCCTCTATAGCATTTTCTGTACTCATCAAAAATATTGATATGAACCAGTCCCAAAATATTTTTTTTCTTTAAATTTTCAGTTTATATTTGCCTGTTAAGCATGATTTTCTGTTTTACAAAAAAAATATGCTTTGTTAAAAAAAATCAATATTACACAAGCACCAAGGAATGAATACTTTTGATATAAGACATCCTATGTATCACACTGATCTTAAGAGGAAAATGCAAAACAAATATCATGACCTTGACAAGGAAATATGACTACTGACTTTCAACAACATTAATGAGTACTCACCAATTAGAAATCTAATAAGCATAAGCAAGTGGCAAAAAAGAAGTGATGGGAGGTGAGCAATGGTGAACAGCAAGCAACAATTGGTAACGAATGTCTAAAGCAACGGCCATCAGAGAATAGAAAATGTTAATAAACGGGTGGCGTTAAACAACGTAAAATGATGATCATTAAAAGTCAAGAATGGGAAGGTGGGTTAGCGTGATCATCCTCCCATAATGAGAGAAGTCCAGGCTAAAAAGGTGCTGAAAGAGAATTCTAAAAAACAAAACATTAGCATTATCTATGTCTCTCTCCTAAGGGTTTCGGCCCACTTTGACTGATCATATCTTTCTATAGAACTTGAATTAGCTAAAATCACTTGAATCATTGAATTCCTTGTATTTTTACCTATCAAATGAGCCAAAATCAATTTTTGGCCATAACCAAATCCCAACCACTTTTTAAAATTTGTTAAAAATTATTTCATTGTTTAAATTTTGAGAAAACTATTTAGGTTGCAAAAAGAGATTAGAACTCAAGAATTCTCTTTTAATTAAAAATTTCTTTGTCAAACTTTGTCCTGAATATCTAACAACCTGACTTAATCATAATTTATTTTGCTAACATTTTCACGTTTACCAAAATTGCTCCCTCTCCATTTCGAAAATAAACTGGTTGATTCTACCCCTAAGCTAGCCATATGAGTCGGTCTAAGCTGCTGGCCAATTAGCCAAAAACAGTGTCCGATGAAAGTTTGATGATAACATCACAAACAATTACTCTAAACCACTAGCAGGGAGTGCCCCATTAAGGATCTCAATACCTTCAATAGAGTTGATGGATTGGAATTCTTACAATTAAATTATATGGAATAATTCTGAAAAGGTTTAAGATCCAACTTCATTATCACAAGAAGATGTCAACCATAAGTAACTACCTTGATATGGAATTATTCTTCTTAGTAAGAGAAAATTAACAGTGCTAGCGGTTTGTAAATTGGAGGCATGTAGGAGTCACAATAATTTCATTAAGTTTCTAAACTCAAATTTGGGCCATTGAAAAAAAGGCCAAAGAGAGCGCCCAATTTTGGACCAAAAAATTTGTAGCTTTCGAAACAATCCCACAACAAATTGCTTGCAATTGGAGATCATTTGAACTCGAATTTGGATGACTTTGGTATTGATGGGTGTTTGCTTTGTTGAAAGTCAGAATAACGCGGAGTATTTTTATTGATATAAAAGGAGTATAAATAACCCTTGCATGATCCTAGAATACGAAAGACAATAAAAAGAAATAATAAGAAAGAAAAAATATAAAACCTAATATCTCAGATTAATCAATCTATATTAATTATTTGAAAATAATGAAAACAACAAAAAATAGGAAAGTCTCAAATAAGAAAGGAAATAAATCCAATGCAAGAAAGAAAATTTAAAATAGAGAAAAAAATCATATTATATTAGGAAATAAATCTAATCCTCATAATTTCTAACCAGAATAAATTATTTCCTAATATAACTTCTAACACTCTCCCTCAAGTTGAAACATGGTTGAAAACGACATTCAACTACGATTTGAAAGCATCAAATAATGGGTGAGGGAGATCCCGTGAAGTAGAAATTGAAGTTTTCATCCTGTATTGCATTGTCTTTGACTGTAGTTCCTGTAATGTCTACAGGTAGGCGGAAAGCTCCTACAAGTAATATTACGGGGGAGTTTGCACGGAAGTGGACAATATACAAGAAAAACTGACTTATAGTTGAATGCGATTTTTTTTTACTGCAGTTCATGCAATGTCAATAGGCAATCAGAACGCTCCTACAAATAATACAGCAAGGGAATTTGTACAGAAGTAGACAACCTGTAGGAAAAACTGACTTCTATTTGATTGTGGTTGTCCTTGATTGCAGTAGATTTAGTGTCTGTGGGTAGATGAAAGGATCGTACAAGTAATGTTGCAAGGGAGTTTGCAGGGAAGTAGACAACCAATAAGAAAAGCTACAGGGTTGTTGACCTCATTTTTTTGTGAGGTCTTGTCTTCTCCTCCTTAGAGCCTAGATTCTAGCTCTAGAAATTCCTATTGACCATCTTAGAAAACTAGAATTGAGACCCACCCTTTTAGAAATTCCAGCCACTTCCTATTTTTCTTTGATGTCTAACATTTATGGCACAAGACCATCGTCTTATGAATGAGTGGTTATGGGCTATTTTGTGAAGACTCAGAGGAAAAGTTCCCAATAGAACTTCAAGCCTTAGGAAGACATCGTCATGACTTTTTCATCACATACACACACCAAATACACAAATTTCACGAAATTGCACGAAATCGGACTTCAATTAAGCCCAAAGGACGGGTGAAAATGCGAACTTCTCCGGATGACCTCCGACGACAAATTGGATTGCGCCAACGCGTCCGGGATACCAATTTTGGCAGGAAAGGACACTCATATTGCCATACTTTCGACACGAGAAAATTGACACGCAAATCGATGAATTCGTCAAAACGACTTCCGACAGCGAAACAGACCGCGCCAGCACGCCCGGAACGTCAGAATTATGCAAAAATGATATCAATTTTGCTATGTTTTGATGCGTGGGTGAAACACAAATTAAAATTTTATTTTTCAAAATATTAAATCATATTCATATTAAACCTGTCATTTGCGCGTGAGACGGCTCCCCTTCTTCTCCTCACACGCGGCATTCCGCGGTCCATTTGCGCACACAGGCTCTTCGATTTCTGCTCGACCGAACAGCTTCCCAACGGTGGAACTCCACCTGGCCCTTCCTCTGCCCTAGGCCGCATTTCCTCCGCTCTAAATGCATCTCTTCTCTTCCTTTACCTGATTCGGCTACCAGGGAGGTTGGTAGGTGGCTTCTCCTTTCTCTTTTCTTTGATATAGAACCCCAGTTGTTGATATAGAACCCCCGTTGGGGGAAGGTTGGGGGTTGGCCGAAAATTGAAAAGGAGGGAGGAGGTGCTGCCAAAATCTTGTCTTGTGTAGATTTCCCTGTTAAGCTGTTCGGTATTCCTTCTGGGCTGCTTGGTATTCTGGATTGTTGGCTCGATATTCTTGCTTGGTTGTGTGTTTGACTATCGAGGTGGGCCGAAATTTTGAGAAGAGGAGGAGGTGCTGCCAACACCTTTCTTCTTGAATTGGTTCTTCCCTAAATTGCTTGGTGGTTGGTTTTCCCTGTTTCTTTAAAAAAAAAAAAGTGAGGTGCCTTTTTCTTCCTTTTCTCTTTACTTTTATTCCCCTTTATTTGCACGATTCCGTTGGCCATTAAAAAAAAATAATAATAGTAGGAAGGCATATTCATAATGTTTCACTAGCTCTGTTTGTGATGTTTAATTACATACTTCTTGATCCATGAAAAATCTAAAAAAAAAAAAATGTGAAGGGCTTGGTTTCTGTTGTGAAAATTCGTGCATCATATGATCACTATATAAAATGTTAGGATATATTTTTTTTTATTTATTTTATCCTTGCATTTGTACCATCAATTGGATGATGAAATAATCATACACTTGCTATGTTTATGCATCTGCCACCTATCTGCCACCTTACTTGACGTTGCTCATATACATCATACTAGCTTGAGATGGACAAAAATCTAAGAGGGTTTTATTTGTTATTTGCAAAGGGTGGAAGGTTTTAGTGCTTTGCTCATAAAATCTGAAAGCATCGTCACCTTATTTGCAAAGGTTGGATGCCTTGATGCTTATGTCTTGCAAAATTTGAAATGTTAGGTGGCCTATTTGTGAAAATCTGAAACTTTGAATGGCTAATTTGCAAAATCTGAAACATTCGGGTGGTGTATTTGCAAAATCTGAAATATTCGGGTGGTATATTTGCAAAAATTTGAGAGCATTGGTAGAACATTTTAAAAATGCATTTTTATTCCTTACAAATGTTTATGGCAAGCATAATTGGGCTTATTTTTGTTCCTATTTGTTGCGCTCCGTCGTTGGAACATATGCTGAAATATTTCTTAATGCTGGAAATTACATTTTTAAGGCTTTTATCTACTTCCTTTGCTGCCCCTTGTTGAAATACATGTTGGAAGGAT